CAGTTATTGTACCAAGCCAAAAATGGATTGTGAGACAGTCACCCCTGAGCCATCACAGTAGAATGCCTCAAGCTGGGAATATGAAAGGGTTTCTGACCCTTAAAGCTGTCCAAACTCAGTCAAAGATAGCTCCTGGCTACATCACCCAGGGGGGTCACTAGGAAATGAAGTAAATTCTTTTTTCCCCAAAGCCAGACTACTGTAAAGATTTCTGTCATCGTATCTATTTAGGCTATAAACTAACAAGGGCCCTAAAACTTTCCAACTGTGAGGATTGCCAGCCTCTGCCCTGATAGCAGAAGAAAACCCCCCTCCCTAGCGATGGAGGTAGGACAGCAGTTTCTGGAATATTTTTTCTCTTATTATGCTGCTGTCCCAGGTCTCTCAATTCTACAAGGTTTACATTTCTCTACCATTAAATTTCAGTCTTCTGTCATGGTCACTCACCTCACTATGCAACTGTACATCTATTGCCTTGATTCTTTGTGTAAGAGCAAGTGAGTGTTGGGTGCCTCTGTTCAGCTGTCTTGCCTGTCTTTCTCCCTTGAGGATTGTTCAAGACTGCTTTCAGATTACAATTGTAGCATTTCGTACACAGACATAAAAATAATTTACTCTTATGGAATGTTTTCTTTTATATACATAAGCTAAAGCAAAATAAGAGGGGAAGGGGGCAGTGATCAGATATCATAAGGTTAGAGGAATAGAAGACGACTGAGGGGAGGGAAGAGGGATGGGAAAGGGAAGGAAATGAATTCATATGACAAAATTATGCTATGTACATGTATATACATACCACAGTGAATTCCACCTCTATGTATATCCTCAAAGCTCCAATTAAAAATAAGCTAGGCACAGGGGCACATGCTTGTAATCTCGGGAGCTTGGCAGGCTGAGGCAAAATGATCTCAAGTCAAAGACAGCCTCAGCAACTTAGTGAGGCCCTAAGCAACTTAGTGAGACTCTTGTCTCAAAATAAAAATAAAAAGAAGGGCCGGGGATGTGCCTCAGTGGTTAACCCCTGCTTGGTTCAATCCCTGGTACCAAAAAAAAAAAAAAAAATAGATAGATGTATAAATAAATAATTTACCCTAAGTTTGAAAACTCAAGCCTACAAGCAAAGTGAAATCACAGATTTGTAATATTTGAAATCATCTCATTTAAGATACTCCTTTTATAAATGAGAAAACTGAGACACAGGAAGTTTAATTAATTTGACTCCAGTTACAGAGAATGAGAAATTAGACTTCATGACTTTCAAATCCCTATTTTCTGTATAATAGTGTCATCTCGATTGATTAAATGGGTTCTTAGGGTACTTATCCAGCTGTTTCTGGTGTACATTTAAAAAATAACCTAACTCCCTCTGTATATTACTGTTCTACATCAGTGATTATGCCTCAGTATTCACACTAGCTGTTTTCATAATATAAGTACACACCGGTGGAATGTTTGCAATTTAAATAAAATCCAGTGTTTTAGGAAAGCTCATTACTAAAGGCATCCCATAATTAATCATTTTCATAGAAAAATACTATTGTGACTATTGTATTTCCTATATCTGTAGTTTAACATTGTTTTTATATTGAAGATTTCTAAAAAGAAATTTGCTTTTTTATTCCCTTTAAGTTTAAGGTTGCTACCACACCATAATGGGCATTCTGCAGATTTTGCCCAGTTCTTGGTACATTGTAAGTTTCAAAACTGTCAGTTTTCTATTTCTTCTCTTACCTTTTTTCTCAGTCTCACGTTCTCTAAGCTTGGTGTTTGCTCAGGTCACCCTTGAAACCATTTCACATAGACAGTGGTCCTCTCTGCATTAACAGTCTCTAGTAAATTATTCTTTTGCTTTCCAAAATTATTAGGAAAATTCACTTGGGACATGAAAACAATTGAATATCACGTTGTCTTTTTACTGCTCTATTGCTTACTTTGGGGCATGTATTGTCAGTATGAACTGATGAATGCTATCAGTCTTTTTACATTGTTTATGCTAGAAATTTGCTTCCAAATTTAGTTTTAAAATTGCTCTTTAATTGTTGGCAAAAACCTCATTTACTATAAGTGTTTATGGAAGGTTTCATATTAATTAATTTGTATTTTCTCATTTACTTAAAATTCCAAATATGGGATTCAGTAAAAAACAAAATTTTGCTCTGAAGGATTATAAAAATAAAAACAATGAAACTGATGGACTTATCCAAATTATCAAAACATTCTAAACATGCGAACAAAGCAAAATGATGATATTTAGATGGTATATGCTAAACCTATATTCACTTTAGCTGTGACAGGCTTGTATTTTACTGTGACTTCACAATTCCCCGGGGAGCCCTTGTCAGTTTTCAGTCATCACAGTGCTCTCTCCTTTCCCTGGAGTACCAATGCACCATGCAGACTGAGACATGGACCCCGAAAATGTGCCCACTCTGAGCATAACTAAACCAAGTGAAGAAAACTACTCCAAATTATATAAATGACATTTCTTTAGAAGACATTGTTTAGAAGACACCTGGAAGAGTCAGGCACAGTGGCACATGCCTATAATCCCAGCTGTTCAGGAGGCTGAGGTAGGGGGATCACAAGTTCAAGACCAGTTCAGGAGGCTGAGGTAGGGAGATCACAAGTTCAAGACCAGTCTAGACAGCTTAGCAGGACCCTGTGTCAAAGTGGGAAGGGCTGGGAATGTAGCTCAGTGGTAGAGTGCTTGCCCAGCATTTATGAGGCCCAGGGTTCAATCCTCAGTACTCAAAAAAAAAAAGAACAAAAGAAAGACTTCTGGAAGAACGTGCTACATAAAACATAATAAATAAATGTGTATCCTTATGTAATCAAGTTGCCATTTCTGAGCTGCTTATCTTCTACTTCTAGATCAGTTGCAGTAAAATAAGACAATCTTATTGTATGAAGGTGTACCAGGGGGGGCATAGGAGCTAAAATTATTCATTAATGTTAATATTTAAAATTAATTTTCCCTGGTTATATCCCCAAAGAGGCAAATCATTGTCTTCTCAGCATGTAGGACATTTTCTAGAATTGTACTTGCCTGTAGGTAACTGTCTCCTTTCTGTCTTTGGTTTGTCAGTTTGGCTTGGGTCTCTAAGGGATCCTAATAGTTTGCAAAATACCATAGTCACTTGCTACTTGGTTTTTGTGTGATTTATAAATCTGTAAACCAAGCATGACATTTATTGATGACTTCTTGACATATTTAAGGTAACCTTGGAAGGAACTATTTTATGAAAGAAGAGTCAATTCTTCTTACCACATCCTCAGAAATATGTACATTCAGTATACAGTACTATTTCTATATTAATAATATTCTAAAAATATCAGTTATACCTATATTGTAACAATTTAAAATATTTTGATGAAAAAATGTTTCCATACCAATACTACAAAAGAAAATGTCTTAATTTTTTTTCTAAAACTTTATCACAGTAGTTACAATATTTATGATATTCCTTAAATGTGAGTCACCTCCTTTTAAACTGGAATGGGCTTTATTTCCCCTAGTAGACTGAAATGACCAAAAAAAAAAAAAAGAGGTGCTGGCTATGGTATGCTCTGTGATTTCCTGCACTCTCTTTTGCATAGAGTAGATACTAAAGCAATCCAAGCTATTGACTTTGGGTACAAGCACCATAGGTGCCCACATCTGCTACTCCTTTTATCTTCAGAAGCCAAAGTTATTCAAAGCTACCTATTGCTTTAAGTTGTATTAAGTAGAGGGCTGAAATAAAAACCATGTGTCTTTTGCTAATGGGAGGATGCTTATTCTAAAAGAAGCTAGATTGTTTGTGTCTTTAAGGAAATTACATATTAGGCCAGACAGCAAGACTTTACTCATATCACTAGGAGATTTTTTCCCCCCAATACTGAGGATGGAACTCAGGGCTTTGCATATGCCAGGCATGCTCTCTACCATTGAGCTATATCCCAGCCCTGATTCATTCATATTCAGGGACAGTGGAATATTGTACTCTTTTTCCTATATTGATACAATAACATTGTGTCCCAGCCTTACTGTGGGGGTCCTTTCAGCATTTTATTTGCTCAATCTCTGTGACCAACCAATGAGCCAAACTCCTATGGCTACTACGGCCTCCTCTTCTACCACGGGCAGGGCTGTCATTGCATGGAGGCATGTTTCCATGTTAGCCCCCCTACCAAGCCATGAGGGTGGCTGGCGCCTTATTCCTCTTGCTCATTTTTGTGAAGGAAGATAAGGAGAAAGGAAAATAGAAAAAGAGTGGAGAGGAAGAGATTAGGAAGATAGAAGGGAGATGAAGGAACCTGTTTTAAAGAATGAGGATCATACTTTACAAAACACACACACACACACACACACACACACACACACACACACACACACAACCATGATAAGGAATTCATTCATTCATGGAGGAATGTTTTTGCCTACCAAGCCATGGTGCTGGCTCTTTATTCATCTTGCTTATTTTGTTATCTCCAGACAGTGTTTCACAGATGCAAAAGGCACTTAGTAAATGTTTGAGAACTGATGACCAAAAGAAATTTAAAAGAGAAATCATTTGTGTAATGTTGGCTTGCAGACAAAGATGAAATGCCTGAATAAGATACTGTATTTAGGCATTGCTTATGTGGGGAGATTGCTCCATGGGAAATAAATCTCTGATATTCTATCATGCTTCCTAGTGTCTGAATTCCTTCTTGTTAAAATAGCTACAGGTGTAGGTGTAGGGCAAAGTCCCTTTCAGTAGAAGACAAGTAAATGCAGTTAATAAACCATTTAATAAACCCATAGCTCACAGGCTTCTGAGAGGTAAATACTGGGTTGATTAGATCAAATTGAATTTCTTGCTAAGAGTTGCATTTGGATTCTTAGAGTCCACAGTGAATTTGCATGTGTTCCCTTGGAGTCACTTTCTCCAGGTTGGAATCTGTGTTCTTGTCTGTCATACTGAGTCATCTTCCTCCACCTCATTGCCGGCTGATTGAACACAACTTTGACTCTAAAGGTTTCCATCCCGATAACGGAAGGCCTGGATGTGATTGCCATGTTGACGGATGATGCTACAATTGCTGCATGGAATAATGAAGGACTGCCCAATGACAGAATGTCAACCGAAAACGCCACCATCCTAACACACTGCGAGCGCTGGCCCCTGATGATAGATCCCCAGCAACAGGGAATTAAATGGATAAAGAATAAGTATGGAGCTGACCTGAAAGTCACACATTTAGGCCAGAAAGGGTATGTGATTTCTGAAGGGGATTGGCTTTATGTTTAAGTGTTATGTAGTAGTTCTGCTTATTATAAAGTTTTGGCATTTATTAGACCTCTCTACCAATTTAAAATACCATTTGAAATAGTATTTTTAAATACTATTTATTTGCCTGCTCATGTTCTTGTAAAGTACCTCTGTTGAAAAGTCATTGTGAGAGGCAGCATCCAGTTACTTGAAGAAAAATCAGATTGAAGGTTGGAACGAGCATCGTATTTAAGAGGAAAAATATATAAGCGTCTTAAGGGTAAAAATGAAAACATGTGTTATATTCCTTCTCTCTAGAGTGTTTGGTATATAGCATATGGTAAGACAAAAATTGCCAACTACACCTGTAGAATGATATTTAGAATTTTTTAGTCCTAAATATATCCTTTGCCGCTAGTAGGATCATACACAGTGCCAACATCGGATTCCTTACTTCTTAGTTTCATATTTCACTTGGGAGAACTGAACCTACTCTAAGACATTCTGCCACTGGAGCCTCATGGCTGTACTGTCTGATAAGGAGAATGCTGTCTTATCCATAGTTAGTCTTCAGTTAATGTTGAATAAATTATTATTTGGGGGGTTGTACTTTTTGACTTACTAATATTTCCTTTAACCCCTACCATCATCTTTTCACATACAAAGTGAAACAAGGAATTTTTATAGTTGTACAGTTAAATATGTTCCTTGCTTATCTGAATATATGGAGAGAATCATTTGGGGGGTCAGGAGACTTTTCTGGGAGAATGGAAATGAGAGGAAACAATAGTTCACCATTATATATGGCTGAACATAATGGTGTAAAATGTAAAGTCTTGATGAAATCTCAGGGCACTTGACAGATTAGAACTGTTAATTTAAAAGGGATCCATCCAAGGAATTCAAATTTACAATATTTGGGTCATTTATACTTTTTTCAGCCATTGGTGAAAGGCAACAAATTTACACTTGGAAAATAGGACTATAAAATTCATTTTAAAATCTGATCTCTGTTTTTTGTGTAATATAGTTTGAGAAGAATACTACTTTATAACAGATTTCTCAAAGTTGGTTTTCCCAATTAAAATAACTACCTTAAATAAAATTTATCATAGAAATGCTTTTTGGACAATTTCTCTGTGCTTATTTACATTTTATCATCTCAATCCTGATTGAATTGTAAGGTTTTTGAATGCCATTGAGACTGCATTGGCCTTTGGTGACATCATCTTAGTGGAAAACCTTGAGGAAACAATAGATCCAGTCCTTGACCCCCTGCTTGGCAGGAACACAATTAAAAAAGGAAAGTAAGTATTATTGAATTTTTAAGACATAACTTGTGCTTATGAGCTTGATGCATCTATTTCTTAGCCTTATATTTGGGCACAATCTACTGGGATGCTCTCGGTGATGTTTCTGAGTTTCCATTCCCTGCCACCTACATTCCAAGACCAAACCAACCTCAACACATCTCACACTCTACCAGACTGTGTATTTGATGGAGTTAGATTCTTTTTACCCAATTCCTGACTTAGAGATCAAAAAACTACTGTCACTGATTTGGGAACAGTTGCCTGTTTTTTAGTTTCATGTTTCTTCAGTTCAATAATTTGGAAAACACCTTCAGTATGTTTGTTTAGTATCTGCCCCATATCACTTGTACTTTTACTTACTTAATATTTTTCTTTAAATAGGATTTTAGTAATCACTGTTTCTTTAAGCCAGCCTGTACCTAGTAATAGTATCCATGAAATGATGGGTTTACTGTCCAAATTCTGTTTTATCCTAATATAATTCCAAAATATAACCATTCAAAAAATGCATTTGTAACTGGATCCCAGCATCATCCCCCTTACTAGCAGTGATGAGTTATCAATAACAGGGAAACACCCACCTCACTCAGTGAGCTACATAAGGCAGTAAGCTGCCATTCCCCCAGGATGCTACATATTCTAGAACATTTTCCCAGGGGCATTGGAGACATTTCCAAGAAGTCATTGTGTCACTTTTCTATAAATGGGTGAAAGGTCAGATGCAGCAATTAGTCTCTAATCAAGCCAGAGTGGGCCTAGAGGAGACCTGCATTCCAAAGGCTCCTGGTGCCTCTTCAGTCAAGAAATCAACAGTCACTAAACTTACTTCATTGAATTTCCTACTGTTTTTTTTTTCTTTGTTTTGTTTTTCTTTCACAGAGGTATAATTTTAAAACGTCCCCAAACTCATTCTTTAACACCCACTCTCTGCCTCTAAGCTATCTCTCTCTTTTTTATCCCTAGCTTATTCCTGTCAACTTAAAGTGGAAATGGGCCCACTTAGGGGCGACTAACTTCTTATTCTCTACCCTGTTAGTAGGTTATTTATTATACAACTCAACAAGTTGATCCATTTAGAGTGACTGACAACTTGTAATTGTTTAATAAACCAAAATTTACCCAGATATGCATTTAGAACAATCTAATAAGCCACTTGACAAACTGTAACTTTTAACATTAATATAATTGTAGCTGTGTCTGATGTGTTAAAAATAAAGTGTAAAATCTTGAATGTCACTAACGTGAAATCCATGTTATTAAGGCGCTAACTCTATTATGAAGAACTTAAATTTTTGTCTGTGAAATAACGTATTCTCTGAGTCTTCACTTCAGCTTCCAATGGCACAATTTAGGTGTAGGAAATGTTATGATTCTCCCTCACAAATATATTTGAAATTTCCAAAATGTCATGATTTTACCTCAGTATGAATGTAATTAAGTATCAGTGAGGATTCCAGAGACCTTTGATTCCAGAGACTCTTAAAGAGTTTACAAGGAGCAACAAGTCTTTACCATTAAATGTCAGTTCAGCACAATTTATTCCAAAATAATACTATTACTGAATGTGCACTCTGTCTAGGACCTTCTAGAACTGATCTTACCATTCCAGATTTTTTTTTAAGGGAATGAAAATTTAAGATGCTCTGTAAGAATATAACAAGTGATAACTATTGCATGAAGTTTCTACTTCAACAAGCCTGACTACTCAACTCTTACATGTAAGAACAACCACTTGTTTGAAAGTGAATTTTAACTTCATATCTCTAGTTTTTCCTACTTCCCTCTTGGGCAGATGATTTTAATTTTTTACTTAGAGACTCAAGTAGTGAGTGCAGTCCTTATATATCCTGTGAGTTATTGAATGAAACTTCTCTGAGTACTGTTATTTGTCAGGCACTGTACTGGAGGTTGCAGATTCAAAATGTGATCACGTACAGATCCTTCCCTTAGGAAGCCACACTTCCTTGGTTGTAGGCAAACCTGTAAATACAAGAAGTGTGGTGCCATTGGTGTGATGATAGAAGTTCATGTGGCAGAGAGGCATGAGCTCCCAAAAGAGACTTGAAAAGGCTCTATGAAAAACTGTACATTTGATTACAGTTATATCAATGCAAGTCTCGAAAGATTAGCAGGCATTTTTCAGGTATATGGAGAACCCTGATGCCAAATAGCCAAACAGATGAAACAGCCAACAGTTTTGAAGAACAGCAAATGAAATTCAGTAGGATGGAGAGTCTGTGTTTGGGGGTAATAAGGTAACAGGGACTGGGTGAGAAGATACTGGAGACGTAAGCAGGGCCACTAAAGTGGACTTCTTTTTTGACCCAAAGGTTGGCCTTTTCCTGTAGGTGGATAATTTTTTCCTGCACCCAAACCCATTCAAGGGGCCAGTCTCTATCAGTTACAGTAGTTGACAAAATCGGTTGTTTTCCACTGAAGAACAGTGCCTCTCTGAACTCTCCATATTTTCATTAAGAACCCTGAGGGGAAGTCAGTGGAGAAACTAATGAAGATTCCTGAGCACACTAGAAGTGACGTGACCAGAATTGCATTTGTGAAGGTCACATAGTTAGCAATGCGAAATATTAACAGAAGGAGCCTGGACCTAAAGCCAAGTCCAGCTAGCAAGTAATTGCAGTTACTCAGCTGAGACATAATCAGAGCCTAACCAAGGGCAGTGGCAGTGAGATGGAGATAGGAGGACCAACCAAAGTCAATGTCAACTCTTGGTTATTTGTTATTATTGGAAACAGGGGCGGGGGGTGGGGGGTGGGGGAGGAATCATGGGTGATTTCCAGCCTTTGGGCAAGTAGATGATGATATGATTGACAGAGAGATGCCATACAAATAGGAGTAAGTGTGGAAAGAGAGGCAGTGAGTTCTCTTACTGGACAGATGTCCTTTTTTTTTTTAAACACATATTCTCAAAGAAAAGTCTAAGCAGTTGGATATGTCAGTCCAGAGCTTACGAAGGATATCTTAGCTGAACAAGTAGACTGGAGATAGCCACATAGAGAAGTAGGTAGGCAGTGGGTAACAAGCCTGGCTACTCAACTTTTACATGTAGGAACAACCACTTGTCTGAAAGTGAATTTTAACTTCATATCTCCAGTTTTTCCCACTCCCTTTGGGCAGATGATTATAATTTCTTAGAGACTCTGGTTGTGAGCGGAGTTCTTATGTATCCTGTTAATCATTGAAGGAACCTTCTCTGAGTACTATTGTATGTCAGGCACTGTACTGGAGGTTGCTGAAGGAGTAGGTGGGTCCGATTGTCCAGGGAGATTGTATACACTCAGAAGATCAGAGTGTACCCTTGCTTCAGGTGAGACACACGGGCTGAGAGAGCTTAGCCGACGTCTGTTGGGATGCCCCTTGACTATACGAAGTGTAGTTACGTGGAGACTTGGTTTCTCAGCCAGCTCATCCAAGTTAATGGGCCACTGCCATCTTTCAGTAGACTTTCTGTGAGTGCCTCTTGCCAAATTAACACTCACTCCTCTACTTCTTTGATTCATTTTCCTCCTAAATCTTGTTCACCTTCCCATCCATGTTTTGAAATCCATGTTTATGTCCACACCTTCCTGTGTCATCCAGGCCTTTCATGTGCTCATACTGATGGAGCAGTCGCTTTGTTGCCTTTCCCTGCTCACTTGTCACCAACCCAGAGCATGGCTAAAATAACACCTCTTCTATCATCCCTGCCCCGCTCCTGAACTCACTAAGAATCCTCTTTAGCCAGTTGCATTGAATTGCACTGAAGATGCCTACCTATCTGTTACTTCTGCCTTTCCTTCCACCCACCTGTGTTTCACTGCTTCTTCACCCAGATCATCTCCCCTGCCGTGGTGTGCTTTTTCACTTACCTCTTTTCCCCCGCAAATCCCAGGTCCACTTTATTCTAGATTTTACTGCTATTTAATCAATAGCAGTTAGGTGTTACATGGAATTTAAAGTTTCTATTTTTAATGCTGCCCACACATAGCACATTCTGTTGTATGTCATCCTGCCTTTTTCGTTGTTCTCCTTACAGTATGTTTTGTTTTCCACTCTTGCATAGTCTTAATTCATTAAAAGTTCTCTGTAGACAGTTGCCGTGGCATACGCCTGACATCCCAGCAGCTTGGGAGTCTGGAGGCAGGAGAATCTCCAGTTCAAAGCCAGTCTCAGTAACTGAGCGAGACCCCAGCAACTTAGTGAGACACTGTCTCTAAATAAAATATAAAAAGGGGATGTGGCTCAGTTCTTGAGTGCCTCTGGGTTCAATTCCTAGCACCAAAAAAAAAAAAAAAAGTTCTCTCTGAACAAGTTATATACTATATATAGGCTTTAAAAAAGATGATTAACAAAAAAATGGAACAATAATAATATAGACTTTTATTTTTTACTATGACAGATTGATATAAGAATCTTGAAAATTAAATAAATTAGTTAAAGCATTTAAAACACCTTTTGAAACATATTACTGGGTTGCCAAAAAAGGGGGGAAAAAGAACTCCAAAGCTGATTCTCCTGTAGATAACTGCTAAAACCTGATAATCCTTGTCTTCTGTGTTATGAGTGTACAGGGTTTGGATAAGTCTGAGGCCTACAGCTTAATACAGAATCTCTTAGAAGACTACCCATCCTCTCTATAGATTCCTGTATAAAGCCACACCTTCTGTGTAGTGGTAGGTTTCCTTTAAAGTAATAAACAAAACCCAGTGCTATATCAAGGAAATTTTGCTTTGGCACTGGGAAGAGGTGAAAAACATATCCCCTGTGATTTCTTAACCAGAAACTGTTTCTTTTATGAGTGTTCAAAATGCATTTTTACCATTTGATTGCCCTAAAACCCTTATTCCAATAATTTATTTTAAAGTGGCCTTGGGTTATTTATGCCTAGTAAATTGGACAGAAGCAAAGGAAAATCCAGAGTCCAGTTAGCAAATAATTGCAGTTACTCAGTTGAGACATGTGTGGATGGGAATAATAGCATAAATTCAGACCTTAGA